CAGTCAGCCCTGAGCACTCTAAAAACGAAAGGGCAAACTCATGTACTGGGACTGCAGTGCTGTACCTGCCCAAACTCTGGCAAGGGGCTCCTCAATTCCCCCATTCCTGAGGCAGTGGCCCAGGGAATTGCTGCTCCAGAGCAGAGGAAGGCAGGGGATGCTCAGCTGGCTGCAAAGAACACCTGGGATCTACCCACAGGAATATCCAGGCTGCCAAGAGCAGAGGCCTGGGGTGCCACCCTCAGCACTGCTAACCCTGCCCAAAACTGCAATAACTCTGCTGGACCAGATTCCAATCAAAATTCAATAATAAAAGGATTACACACAACAAAGACGTTTCAGAGGTCAATCCTCTCCCAGACCTCCTTCCACTCCTACCAAATTCCTGGTCCAGAGCTCTAATATAACAAGCTGAGAATGGATCAACATCAAAACACAGACAGAAGCAGAAGTTCAAAAGGTTTCATTGCTTCCTCTATTGAGGAAATTCAAAATCTTAATCAATACAAACACCGTCAGGAGCAGAATGATTAAGATGATGTTTTATCTTTTTTTAAAGCTGTTAAAAATCAAAAGCACCAATAAATCCAATTTAAGCCATGGGAAAAAAAGGAGGAATAGCTTTTTAAATGTATGTCAGTCACTAAACCATTCCAAAGTTGCCAAAACTCATCCTGTTTGCAGACAGACCAGCAGCATCCTTCCCAGGGGAGGTCTATTTAATCATTTCAGAAATTATTTCTTGCAGACAACAAAGAGCCATTAGATTACTTAATTAAAGCCTTGATTATCTCCAACCCAAAACAAGGGAAGGCAGAATCTAAACTCGGGAGATTTAACCAGCTGCCCTGCTCCTCATTATGCTTTGATTTCAATCAAGCACACACACGTCAAGCAAAGGGCAATAAATTACAGCCATGTGTTGGAAGAAATTATCTTCACCATATTGGAAGTGGAAAGGCAAGGCTCTGAGTGGTGTAAGATATTAGACTTCCATCTGGGAATAATAACCTGCTGAACACAAACATACCAGGGCATTAGCTGCAGGCACTGCTGCAGTTAAACCTGGCAGCAGGAGATGGAAATGGAACAGTTGTTTTTTGGGAAAGTGACATGGATTTTGGTTAAAACAGATAACCGAGAAATGTGCTTGCTGTTTAACACAGAGAACAGAGAGGGAACTAAAACCTGGTGTAATTCCTCTTTAACCCAAATGTCTCCAGAAAGAAAAGGTAGGGAACTCCAGAGATACTAAAGGTAGTTTGCACTAAAACAGACACTTAAGGCCAATTCAGCACTGGTTCACAGGCACTGAGGTTCAGCAGGATTGTTCTTACATGATTTTATTACATGCAATATTACAAGACCTCCCCAAACTTGTTTTCACACTACAGTCACTCAGTGGCCACTAAGCTTTTGTGGACAAAATTGAATTTTAAGGCCCTTAGCAAGCAAATCAGACTGGATTATCCCACACAAACTGTTAACAAATCCCTAACAGGCTGTTTCCCTCAAAACACCCACGACAGCAGGTGCCAACCCCTTGGGAAATGGCAAATACAATGAAGTGACTCACTGAACGTAGGTGGAGACTTACCACACCTGATGAAAAGAGAAATCTAAAAAGGAAAGGTGTGTGGGCCAGATGGGACTGACACAAGGAAAAACTGAAGCAATCTGAAGTGTTGGGAGAGGCCAGAGATGAATTCTGTGAGATATCAGCACTCTGTGTGTGAAAGGTAAAATGGGAGCTGGTCCAGGGGAGGTTTGGACCACGTGTGGAGAGCAGAGTGGGATGGAGATGTTCTCTGGGGCACCCATTTATCTACAGATGCTGCAGTGACCAGCATGTATTTGGTATTTGGAAACTCAACATGAAGTGAGCCCCGTGCACAGCAACTTCTGAGAGCCCTGGGATTGCTCAGCCTGCAGAGGAGGAGGCTCCAGGGTGACCTGACTGAGCCTTCCAGAAGGAGACAACAGCAAAGATGGAAAGAGCCTTTGGACAAGGGCCTGGAGTGCCAGGACAACAGGGACTGGCTCCCCACTGCCAGAGGGCAGGGCTGGATGGGCTATTGGGCAGGAATTGCTCCCTGTGAGGGTGGGCAGGCCCTGGCACAGGGTGCCCAGAGCAGCTGTGGCTGCCCCTGGATCCCTGGCAGTGTCCAAGGCCAGGCTGAACAGGGCTGGGAGCAACCTGGGAAGTAGAAGCTGTCCAGCAAGGCTGGACACAAAGCCACCACCTGTCTGAAAAGGCCAGCAGAAACTCTCATTACAGGAATAAAATGCCTGAACAGCCCAGGAAATTCAGGCACGCTGGGATCTGGTGTTCCCTGTGAGTGCTGGGATTACTTTTGTATTCACTGTTACCTCTCTTCCATAAAACAACAGCTGTGGTTACAGAGGCAGCTCAGAAACATTCTGTGCCCCACAGAGGGACAGAACAGCCTCTTAGGGGACTGCTGGTGAGGAGCTGATGTGTCAGATTTGAGGCTTCTCCTTCAGCACCATTTTCATCCTCTTCATCTGCAGCCACTGCACTTGAACTGTTATTTTTTAAGAGAGAATTTGTAATGTGAAGGATCAGTTAGCCTGGTGTCCCCTGTGAAGGATTTGTGTGGGCACCCCACCAGAGTGAACAGAAAACATGAAAGTCTCTGCAGGTCACCTTAAAATGTAGATTTTCTGCACAACTGCCTCCAGACTGATCCCTGTTCCTGGAGGGTGAACCTGGAATAGATCTCCCCACCTAACAGTAACCAGAATTTCCACAGAAGATACAGTCTTGAGGGCTGCCAGCACACTCAGCTCTTTATTAACACATCACCAAGCCTGAAGTCTGTCCCAGTGCTGGGCAAGCTCTGCTGTGCTGGCTCTGGAGCTCTGAGGACACTGGTACCTGCCCAGCTCCAGGAGCTGCCAGAGCAGCAGGGCAGTGACACCTCCCTCCACTCTGCTGGGCCCAGCCCCACTGGGGGCTCCAGAGAGCACTCCCAGGGTCACCTCCCAGCCCCAGCAGCCATGGAAGGGACATCCCTGCCCTGCCATCCCCTTCCCATGCAGCTCCAGCAGCTGCTCCATGAGGAATTGCTGAAGTCATTCCTGACCTGAACATTGGCAAGAGCAGCACTGAGAGAAGTCACCACCCCTGAATTCCCACTCTGATCTCCAAGTAAAAATTAAGCTTCTGCTGTCAAAACACAAAAACGCAATTGTCTTATTCAGGAAACTGCAAAGTCCAACTGCAAAAACAAAATCCCATTTCTCTCCACATCTCAGCTGGAGGTGAAGTACAAATCCTGATTCTGAGCACGACGAATCCTTCAGACACTGAGGTTAAGTTTCCTTAACTTTGCAAATTCTTTCCACAAATTCCAGATTTTTTTTTTTTTTATGCTGTTCAGCCAAACATAAGCCACCCTTGTCCTCTTTTCCTCCTCCACTTTTGGGATCACAATAGGCACTGAAGTGTCCTGTGCTGGCACCTGTGCTCACAGTCTGACCTGTCCTCCTGACTGGGATCTCTCTGGATTCCCTCTGACCATTCCTGCCTGTAAAACCTGCACTGACAAACACAAAGATGGAATTTGGAACAACCTCATCTTTTCCTTCCTCACAATACATGAGCACTGCTATATAAAGGTGCTGCTGTACCCCACGCTGAGCAAGGCTCAGCAGATTCACCTCAATGAGAGAAACCTGCCCTGTGCTTCCCTCCTAGCAAATTCAAGCTGTTTAAAGAAGTTATTGTATCCAGTCATGACTTCAGGGTCATCTGAGCAGAGAGGGATTTAAAAAGACAACCTTGGTTCCATAAACCTCCTCATTTTCATCCCAGGGTATCAAAAAATCTTATTGGTCCTGCTCTGTTCTGCATCTGGGGAGTAACTGCAAACTTGGCTTTGCTGAATATGCAAAATTCCTTTCTTCCAGTCAGTTCAGACACCAATAACAACTGTTACTTACAAGAGAAGTTGGAGAGCTATGAAAATAATGCATGAAAAGAAGTAAAAATTTGATACCTGTAACAGAAATGTGACACTTAACACATTTGGACAGGCTACATTTCCACTGAACCACAGAACCCAGCAAGAAAAGTTCCTTTTAATGTGCTTCTATCAGCACTGTAACATGAACTACATCTAAGGCTGTGTTTTATCTCCCTTTCGGGCAACATGAAGCAGCAATGAAGTTTGCTCACTTTTTCCATGGTCTTTAGGAACCTCCCTAACGAAGTGTCCCAGTGAAGGACACAGTGGCTCATTCTGCCTTGCAGCACTCACTTGCTGTGTAGTTTTAGCATCACTTTCCACCCCAGCACTGCTCAGGAGACCACAGAGTACAGAGCCCACAGCTGAACCTGGGCACATCCCAAGGATCTGGAGTAAGTGCAGTGCAGGACCAGCACAGCCCAAATTTACAGAAAAATTGTTCAACTGATAACTCACCCAAACAGCTTCCTAGCTCTTCTTTAAAAAAGCCATGGCCTAATCTACATTTAGCTCACATGTGCTCTATTAACTCCTTTGCTTTACACCTCTTTAATAAGACAGGGCCTGAAACATGCATCCTGCAGCAGAAATAAATTAATCCCTGTCCAACTGCTGCATTTCAGCATTCTGAAATGAATGTCTGTGCCTGTCACTTTACTGAAAGATGTGAGAGTTGCTGCTGCACATAGAGATTTTTTAAGAGTACAGCCTTGAGGGAATGGAAAATGCAGATGGTTTAAGACTGAACTTAGAGATCAAAGAGAAGCCAGGTCATGCCAGGACAGAGACAGCATCAATCTGTTAAAGGGGGAGGAAGGTGGGAAAGCACCTCAGCACCTGCCTTTGGCACCAGCTGACAGATTCCATCGTGTCTGGCATCACAAACCCCAGCACTGCCTCCTCCCCACTGCACAGACACACAGACACACAGACAGCCACACAGACAGCCACACACACAGCCACACAGCCACACAGCCAGCCAGGGCTCAGAGGGTAGGACTGACATACAAGTCTCTGTACTGGTCGAAGGCATTGTTGGCTTCCACCTCCAGCTTGCGCAGGCGAGCCGAGGGCATGGCACCGTCCTCCAGGGGGGGGTCGTACTTGTTGCTCCACGGTGACCTGCCAGGGAGACAGGGAAAGGGACAGTCAGACAGGGGGACAAGGAAAACAGACAGTGAGAAACAGCCTGGTGACAGCCCCGGGGCTGTGGGTTTGTTTGGGTGCCCGGGATTGTTGGCCTGGATGGTCCTTGGGGGCCCATTCCAGCTCAGGACAACCCTTGGCTCTGGAAGGTTTCACATTGGTGGCTCTGACCTCATCCACAGATGCTGAATTTCCAAAAAAAACAAAAGGTGCCCAGAGCAATCCACCTGTAAGAACTGCACCCTACACATCCATTTCAAACACTGGCAAAAAGGGGACAGTGGGCCCTTGAAACTCACCTTGGGACAATTCTCTGGCTTCAGGTTTTTCTGTACAAAAAAATATCTCTTGGCTTTGAATCTGTTCCTTTTTATATATTCAACAACAAGGCTTCAGCTGTTGAACATTAAATATTTAAAATTGTTTTCATGCAAATACAAATCGATTGTGTAGTTTATTTGGGATCTGACAGTATTTGAGCCAAACACTGCTGGCTATGATTAAGGTTCCCATTTTCCTCCACTATTCTGCTTTGAAATAAACTCTACCTTTAGCATAACTTCAGGAAACCTTTTGAACAGTTTGAAGGATTTAACCAGGTTTGTAAAGCTGCAGGTTTTACTACAATTTCTGCAGCTGTGGAAGAGATTTTTGTACTCTTAATGAAAGATTTGGTATTAAAAGATTAATGGAACCCTTTGCCCATCTGCTTGAGGCTTTTATAACTCCCATTCTGGAAACCTGCATTTTGCTTTTCATTTCCCCTTGGAGTAACCAACTTACACAGATCACTGCTGGCTTCAAGAAAAGCACCTCCACCCTTTCTCTGCCCTTTTCCCACTCACTTGTCCCAGCCCCTGGCTGCAGCACCGGGTCCCAGTGCTCCCCACAGGGAAAGGCTGTTTCTCAGCAGCCCTTTGTCACTCATTTCTCAGAAAGGCAGGGGGGGCTGACACCTGCTTGATGCAAAGCACAAAGCCCAGGCTCTGCTTTGCTCCCTTCGCTCCTTCCAAGCACACCTGACAGGAAAGGTGAGACCAGGAAAAGCGGAGTTGTTGTGTCACATCCACCACAGTGATGTTATCAGGTCATGGTTCTCACCTAAGGGCTGTGTCCAGTTCTGGGACCCTCAGTACAAGAAGGATCTGGAGGGGCTGGAGCAAGTCCAGGGAAGGGAATGGAGCTGGGAAGGGGCTGAGGGAGCTGGGAAGGGGCTCAGCCTGGAGAAAAGGAGGCTCAGGGGGGACCCTGTGGCTCTGCACAACTCCCTGACAGGAGGGGACAGCCAGGGGGGTTGGGCTCTGCTCCCAGGGAACAGGGACAGGAGGAGAGGGAATGGCCTCAGGCTGGGCCAGGAGAGGCTCAGTTGGACATCAGGAGGAATTTCCCCATGGAAAGGGTGGTCAGGCCTTGGCAGGGGCTGCCCAGGGAGGTTTGGAGTGCCCATCCCTGGAGATGTCCAAGGAGCACCTGGACATGGCACTCAGGGCTCTGGGCTGGGGACAAGGTGGGGACTGGTCAAGGCTGGACTCGATGATCTTGGAGGGTTTTTCCAACCTCAGTGATTCTGAGATTTTGTGATTTTAAACAGCTGCTTAAAATGTGGTTGCTTTGGAGGGGAGTCAAAAGCCACAGCATCCCAGCTGGGTCAGGCTGGAAGGGCTCACAAAGCCTCACTTGGTGTCACCTCCCTGCTCCTGCTCCAGCAGGGTCAGCCCAGAGCACAGGACTGAGTGAGGCTGGATCTGGAATATCCCCAGGGAGGGACACTCCACACTCTGTCCCTGTGTCCCACAGTGTGTAAACAAGTTCTTCCTCGTGTTCAGGTGGAACTCCCTGGGTTCAGTCCCTGCCCTTCCTCTGGTGCCACTGCTGGGCCCCCAGAGCAGAGCCTGGGCCCTGCTCAGAGCCCTCCCTGCACACAGGGACACACAGGGATCAGGTCCCTTCTCAGCTCTTTCTCACTCCTTCACCTAAAATCTCTGAAATCTGGGAGAGATTCACATAAAAATCCCCCTGGTGTTCCCAAATTCTCAGCTACTGCAGAGGGTGAGCAGAGAACTCGTGCAGCACCCCTGTGAGATGCTCTGAGTGCAAACACCAAAACTCCTCCCCTGGCTGCAGAGCAGGGTGGAGGGGCAGCCCAGAACAGACCCTGCCAGCCAACAGCCTGTGGCATTTCCATCCCATTCCAGTTGGATCCAGCAGCAGCTTTGCCAACAAAAAAACCTCCTAACACAACCCAGTATTTTTTTATTTTTGTGGAAATGCACTCACAACACATTTAAACACTTAACTGGAGGCTATTTGAAGAAAGACAGATGGACAAGCACTTAAATTTCAAAAGTCAGACCTCTAATTTCCCCAGAAGAGAATGGTTTGTGTTTCAGTTAACAGGTTTCAGTGTTGTTGGCCCCAAATTCCCCATAAGGATTCCATTTAACAGAGTGATCAAACACACTTCGAGTGGAAATGTATGGACAAAGTCAGGGACCTTGAAGTCTAATATTAAAAAAAAAATTAATAAAAGCTCTGCCTCCACAATGTGGATTCTATGACTGTTTGATATCCTTCACAAACCTTCATTATTCCAGGAGCACTCACAGAACTACCTGTGAGACTCTCATAAGCAGGATTTGATAATATGAAGAAAATAAAAACTATCTATTTATGAAGATCCAAGGAGACTCCAAAAATCCTCCTTCTAGTCTGATTCATGTTCAACATGGACCAAACCTAGTCTGTCTAAATATAAGGAAAGACTACACTGTGATGGGCTAAGCATTAGGAAATTCATTGCCCACAGCACCTTTTTTTTTTCCTCAGGCAAATTCCCAGTCAGATTGTAAAGCCACTCAAAAACCCAGCCCTATAAAACTAGATTCCCAGTGAGAAAAGTCTGACTACCCAGCCCCACCTCTCCTGCTGAAGGACATCGAGGCTCACTTGCCCATGGAATGCTTTGAAATCCTTGGATTAGTGCTAAAAGAAATGCAATTAGCAACCTGTGCAATATGAGGAAAAGGTGTTTAGCTTGGACTGTGCAGGAATTGGGGATGCAGCACGGTGCAGCCAGGGAATAAGATTCCCTGAGACTTCTAATTGAGCATGTGGTTCTGAAAAATGGCTGTGGAAATATCAAAAGCTTTTAAAAGCCCAGTGAACTCCTCAGTCTCAGCCTAATTGATTAAATTAGTGTAAGAGCCACTTCCCAGTAACAACTGCAGATTTTATGAGGTACGAAGCAGTGTCTGGACACAGGCACAGAATGGGATTAACATGCACAGGGCAGTGCTGCTGGGCTTTCAAAGGCTTCTGCTGTGTGCTGAAGGAAAGAATTTACTCCATGAACCAGAGCTGGGACCAATCAATTCCAGAAGGAAGAATCACTTCAATCCAGAACGCCTGAATCAAAAGCTTTAGGAACAGGATTCTTTCATGCCAGTAATTAACACATGGTGCCTGTTCTAGAGGAACAAATGAAAGAGCTTTTCTGAAACCTCATTACTTAATAAGTCCTGAAAATTTCAAAGTGATTTTAAAAACCAGATTCCTCCTACTTACTTGTAACTACTTAATACCTTCTCAGAAAGAGATGGAGCAAATTTCAGAGGCAAGAGTGACACTGACCTTAGAGGAAGGGCTGTTATGTGCCCTAATTAAACACAGGAGGTTATTAGTGATTGCACAATGTCCATTACTGTCTAACCAGTGCTTTTTCCAGTTCTCTGTGTCCCTGGTGATTGATGTCCATGTCAACAGCCTGAGCAGGATGCAAAGGGGCTGCAAGAAACATCAGGACCTCAGGGAGAAAGCATCTCTTGAAAGATCCACACGAAATTCAGGATTTAATCCTTCCTCCTGCATCTGCCAGAGGGGCTGCAGCTGTGTGTGAACACCTCGTGAGGGGCAGAAGCTCTAAACTCCTATTTTATCTACTAATTCAGAAATTATTAAATGCAAGTAGCTGCTAACGTGGATCTGACCAGCTGACACAAAATTAATGCAAAATGCTTCTAGAGGGCACCAGGCTCTTCTGTAGAAGGCTGGAATAATTTCGAAATATGACATTAGTACCCTAAAGAACATGAGTGACACTCTACCTCCAGGTCCTGCTCACCTGTTGGCCCCCTGCAATAGGTTCTGTTTTAAACAACTCATGAGGATTTACACTCAGCCACAATCCACAGGCACTGTCAAACCCTGCATCCACTCTCATTCTCCATCTCCTGTTTTTAGGACAGAATGAATCTCAGCATGTTCTGTGTAAATCATCCCCACACAGATGTGTTTCACATTAGAGAGGGACCTTTCCTGCAACTCAAAGCAACTGAACCAATTCATCTCGAATCCTTTACAAGCTCACCTGCTTCTGCAGTGATTCCTGAGCCAAAGAAAAAAGATTTGTTAAAAAATATTTTCTGAAATTCCACTTTAAAGCACAATTCTTGAAACATTCAGGCCAGATGAATGTAAAAAACTACCACAAATATACACAGAGCTAAGTGAGATTCTTCCTGGAGATAATTCCAAGCACTGAAATGTAAATTCTGACACTGAAGCCTCAGAATCATCCCCTGAAGCAGGAGGATGGCTGAGCTGGCAGTTCAGGGCAGGAGATGAATGGGGTCATTACCTCACAGCCCACCACCCTTCGTTAAGGGAAAGAATAAAAGTGTTGCAGGAGTCACAAAGGTTTCTGGACTGTAAACTCATGGTTCTTAAATTAAATGTCTGAACTACACCACTGTCACTACAGCCATTAAGAAAAGACAATGTGAGAAAGTGAAGGGATGATTTAAAAATAAAATTAAAACATCATCCTTATGGCAAGGTAGGGGAAAACACATTAAATCAAAACATTGAAACCTGATTGTACCATTCCAGTATCACAGCCCCTCCTACCTCAAAATTAATTATATTGTAATTAGACACAGCTTACAGGGCTCGAATATTTTCACTGTTTTTGTCTACAGTCCTCAGAATAAATCAGCTGTTTTGGTAGATGGGGATTCCTTTCCTTTGGTAAAAACTTAGGCCAAGATTTTCAAACAGAAGTAATGACAGTGAGTCCAAAGTCAGTCAATTCCTTGCAAAACATGAGTGAAAGAGCCTTTCCCAGCTGGCAAATCCTCCCTGTTCTGCACAAGCTGAAGATGATTTTGTTTAAACCCACAGCTTGCATCATCTCTTTTCTGTCATTATCCATTCCAGAGATTCTGGAATCTTGCAGTGGTCTAATTTCCTATCAAGGCCATTTCTGCTAGAGAACTGACTTTTTTTAATCTAAAATACAGAAAACAAAGAGAAATAGATCAGTCACCCCCCTTTAGCAAGATAACAGCTGCACATTTTGGATTCTAAATCTTTGAGTGACTGATATTTTCTTGGCTGAAACTAAGAGGGAGAAGGGCCTGCAAGACCTGCACATGGATGTGATGAACAGAGCAGCCCTGGCTGGGAACTCACCTGTACGAGTCCCCATCTCTGTTGTAGTCACACAATAGATAATCCTTGCCCACCACCTTGTCTCGTGCAATCTTCAAGGGCTGATCCACAGAGGACAGGAGATCTTCACACAGGCTGGGGACCTGCAGGGTGGGAGCAAACAACAGGGAGGGGAGACAGGGCAACACGTTAAGGGTGGAAGGCACTGGCACCCCTGAGAACAGATTTTGTTATTAACAGCACACATCTGTCCCAAAGCCAAAACTCCACAAGAAATCCCTTCACTTACAACACACCCCCCTGCTCCCACCTCCCATCAGCTCAGATTTTATTACCAAACCACTGATGTGGTCCAGCACATTCAGTACACAGTGCTCCATGGTCACTCTGTGCCAAGGCTGGCAGGGAAGTGAGTGGCCAGGGCTGATGGATAAAGGGAAATATTTACAGAGCAGTGGGAATGGAGTGGCAATGAGGGATCTGCTAAAGGAACTCACCATCCATACACTGGAGTGAGCTTTCCCAAGCTCCCACCCTGGGTCACCCAGAGCAGCTTCCAGGCAGGCAGCCAGGCATGGCCAGGCTGGCTGATGAGAATAAACGTGTCTGTGTGTGTGCACTTGTCAAACCCAACACACCTCCTGCCCCCTGCACAGCCTCCCATGATCCAGAACCACACTGCCTCCCTGCCCTGCACATGTCAAACCCAACACAACAGGATCACAGGACAACTGGGAAGTTCTTCAACAGATTGGTAACAATATCATAATAAGAAATGAAAGAAAGCAGCAGTGTGGAATCTCTTCTACATTTCACTCTGCATCGTAGAGATGAAAATCTGATTGAGAATATGAGGACAAAAGGCAATCAAAGGCAAAATTAATCATGAAGTGATGAATTCACAACTCATAACAAATGAAAGGGAGAGGGAGGAATAAAGAAAACATGGAAATGTGCTTTCTTTGATTCAGTGAATGGATTAGCATCATTTCAGTGAAAGGAAGCCTAGAGGAGAAAAACAAATTTGGGGTGCAACAGCCCCCAAACTATTTTAATGAACTGGATGGGACAGAAGAGATCAAACTGCCTGCAACAAAAACATTCCTAATCCCAATTAAAAGGCAGTAACATATAGAGGATGACAGTCAGAGTGAGCAGGGACACACATAAACCAGTATGACTATGAAAGATCAAAAAAAAACCCAAAAAACCAAAAACCTAGATGGAAATGACAAAACAAATTGTGGCTACCCCATCCCCAGCAGTGTCCAAGGCCAGGTTGGACAGGGCCTGGAGCAGCCTGGGACAGTGGAAGGTGTCCCTGCCCATGGCAGGGGGGACACTGGATGGGCTTTAAGGTCCCTCCAACCCAAACCATTCCACGGCTCTAAGATGTGACCAGCAAGGGATGCAACACCTGACCCACACAATCAATCCTTAAACACACAAAAAATCAGAGGCAAAGCAAGACATGGTTGGTAAAGTGCTGAAAAAGCTGAAATATTCATTTGAGTGCTTCTATTTTGGTCCCTACAGGCTGTAATGTGGCCACAAGAGAGAACTGCAGAGCCCAGGCCAGAGCAGGCCAGTTCAGGATTTAACCCAGCTCAGGGCTCTCATGGGAGTTCAGCCTTTGGTACCTGCAGGCCTGGCTGAAGAGGCCTCAAAACCACAGCACAGTCCTGGGCAAACAGAAGTAGACAAGCAGCTTTTAGGGGAATTCTTCCTTTTCCTGAGGCCAGACAACTCAAATACTTCCCAGAGCTGATCCAAACCAGCAGTGTCACGGCACAAGGAAGGTGAAATGATCTATTTGTGTCTGTGAGCACATCTGGCTCCCCTCTGTCCCTTCCTCCTCTTCCCCCTTAACCAGAAATTTTGGGTTGACTCAATGTGCTTTGCTTCACCTTCAGATGCAGCAGAGGCAGCCCAGAGCAGCCCAGCACTGGGAGCTGGAGCCAGAGGTGGCCACTGGAACACATCCCTTGGCCAGGAGCCCATCAGCACACAGAAATGTCCAGGAACAGAATCCTGGACCTGCCTTTGGGATGAGTAATAGTGATGAAAACAGAACTGGGGGGAAGTGGCTTTTTCCCAGGCTCTGTTTCCACTCTGTTTCTTTGGGAACAGCCTACACTACACGTGTGGTGAGGGAGCACGAGAGGCCTGGCTGTGCAACCCCTCAACCCCAAATATCCACACAAAACCTTCTCACAAGAAACCCCAAACCCGAGGCAGAGCCGATTCCCCTGCAGAAAAACTGAATTTACAACCCTTATAAAAAAACCCCACACAAGTAACTTTCAGATTTAACTTTCTTTTCAGAACAGCACATGCCTGGTGTGGGGTTTCTGCAGGGCTCAGTGCACAATCCCATATTGACTAGAAGGAACTTGTAACCCATTGTTTTTTTAAGATGCAATCTACTGAACTAAACTTATCTGTGGATGATTTGGTAACAAATATTCGTGAGCAGGGTCTCTTTCCCAATTTCTGAGGGCTGTGGTTATTCCTACAGCCATAACAGTGACTGCATTATATCACACACAAACTAGAATATAATACTGCACTGTATCATAACCTCCATTGTAAAGCAGCCTGTATAGCCCCTGGCTCCCTGGTACAGACACTCCACAGGACTTCAGGCAATTTATTCTTTTCCCCTTCTCGTCTTTCAGAATAAAACTGAAGAAAACCCACTCATCTAGTTTGGAAATATTAGAAAATTTCTACAGTATGTATAAAAAGAACAGATATTCTAGCTGATGGAACTACTTGTGTAGTTCTAATTATTGGAAAGGCACCCAAGTGTGGAACAGTTACCCTAAGAAGGTAATTTTTATACCACTTATTACATCAACTGTACTTCTTAAGAATGAATTTACAATTTATATGCACTGCCTTTCCTCTTCTACTCTTGAAAACAGCTGACAAGGCAAAGGCAGTAACCTGAACGAGGTAATTTGCAGCTTTAAACACTTCAGCTTTCTACTCATGGGACTATGATTCCTTCTGAATTTAGGTCCTTTGGGATCTTGTCCATGTCAAGTATTGAATCTTACTAAAACATGTAAATGTCTGTTGTGCACATTCAGACTCTTGCAGGATTAGTTTATCTTCTGATCCCAGCAAAGGCAACGCTGATGCTCTGAGTTTTCAGCCTCCAGCAGTGGATTTGTATTGTTAATTTTTCTTGTTAAGGTTCTTCCATGTTAACTGAAGAGCCAAAACCACTCAGCTGCCTGAGCACTTATCTATGGCAGTCATTACATGTGGAATTTGGACTTTAATTGAGAAACACAAGAATTAAGGCACTCCTCAGGCCAAACTGAAGCAGTGAATTTGCTCCATTCATCACCACACCACAAATAAATGTCACTGTGATGCAAACACTGGAGGATGAGGTTCTTTTGTGAGCAAAGACTGGGTTCCCACCTTTGCTGTGACACAATCTTTTCCCACTCTAAGCACTGGGAGGTCACATGCAGAACACAATCTGCACCTTGTATCTCCAGCTAAAGGCCAGCATTAATGTCACCTGGCCCTAATGCACCCTAGTTTCCCCAGAGCAGCTCTGTCATCTCTCCTGGTGGCTCTGGGCACTTAGGAAGTGAGACCACCCTCAGAGTAAATTGGAAAGAAAAAAAAGAATATAATCCAGGGCTTGGCCTGGAAGAACAGCAGCATCATTCAGAAGGAACAGGGCACGGTGTTTGGGGGATATTTTTTTCCAAGGACATACACAAAGGATGTGTAGTGCAGAGGAAAGAAAACCTGAATGAGAAAGTGAGGGAAACGTGTCCAACAAGGATCCTGTTGTCCTGTGTAACCAAATTCTGCAGCACAGCTGCCCAGGTATGTGGACAGTGTTTTAATTAAGGCAACTGCTCTGCTATCAAGACAAATAATCAGTTGTGCCAAAGTGGAAACTGGACCCTTTTTGGAGTTGCTAAGCTCAATCATTCCTTCTGGACTCACTTCTTGCTTCAAGGAGCTTATTAGCAATTAAACAATTACTTCTGAATTATTTTTTAAAGTACTTTTAAACCAGTATCTAAAACCAAATTCATAGAGGAAAGAGGAGTAATACCCCAGTTCTCCATGTGTTACACACATCCTTGCTTTGGCCACACTGAATTGCATCAAATTCTGCACTTCACATACTCAGGACAGCCAATATTTTGGCTGTGTCCACTCCAGTTGAGTACACCCAGGTGGCAGTTTTCTTCTACAGCCTTGACTGAAATGTATCACATCTACCACTGAAAGAGCAGCATTCCTGCTGTACCACTCCTCAGAAATACTCTTTTTCCATGTTTATTCAGAGGTCAGCATTACTGATCTCCACAGGAACCTTACACACTGGAAAACTATGCTAAATGCAACAAAATTAAAGATTATACATTTATTTCCTTAAAGAAGCAGAAGGAACAAGGGGGAGCAGTTTCAAACTGAAAGAGATTAAGTTGACTTTAGAGATTAGAAAGGAATTGTTCCCTGTGAGGGTGGGCAGGCCCTGGCACAGGGTGCCCAGAGCAGCTGTGGCTGCCCCTGGATCCCTGGAGGTGCCCAAGGCCAGGCTGGACAGGGCTTGGAGCACCCTGGGACAGTGGAAGGTGTCCCTGCCATGGCAGGGGTGGCACTGGGTCATCTTTAAGGACCCTTCCAACCCAAACATTTCTACAATTCTGGGAAGATGAGGCAAACTTCCATTAGCCAAAGAGCCATTCAGATCCATCTGTGTTTTGAATGTGCACCTGCAAGGTGCAGGTATCTGAGCACACATGTGATGAGAGCAGTTTTGAAATAAAAGCCCCACCAGGAAGGTGAGGTGTTTTTATCCCATGTGAACTTCCAACATTAAAGGAGGACAGAAGCTCTGCTCCCACTCAAACACAGAAGAGCCCGTGGAAGCTCCCTGACCCTCTCACCAAATAACCCTCCTGGCACAGCTCCAGCTCAGATCCTCCATCTAATAAAACATTATTCTGATGTTTGGGAATCCTTGCACAGCCTCCGAATTTCCTGTTGCTGCAGAAGGCAGGCACGGCCCAGCGGATGTTGTGGGAACTCAAGAAGGAAGCCTGGCTCCACTCATCTTGGGCCTAAAACCACCAGCAAAGTCACTCCCACAAATCCACCC